AAAATCCGCTGGGAAATGTTTATAGAGTAGAAAACAACGCGCGCGATGATCGGTTGACAAGACTGACTTCAAAACATGAAAAAGTCTGAAGATTTCTTACTGTTTACATATGTAAATTTAAGTAGGTTTTTATTGGCGGTGTTCTGTTCTCTTGTGATGAAGATTTTACGCCCTTAACAGCACTAGTAAACTGTTATCTGACTCAAATGAGGATCTCAGCTAGTTATTTGGTCATGTCTGACCATGTCTGGTTTTACTTCAGCAACCGCGCAAGCTTAAGTGCCGAACGGAAGGACCGTTTGTTTATTATGTTCCCTGCCGTGGCGTACCTCTCTAACTCAAAAAGGACTTACCTCACCTCTCACACTCGTAGCAGGCGTAAAACATTATTCGTTACCTGCGTTTGGTGAGGCGTGGATAGGTTATGGTAACTTGCCTTCAAAATGTGACTAACGGAATTTTCTCTGTCTCAACATTTTGTTGATCGTTTTTGTAACGTTTGCACACAATATGCATATTTTGTGAACATCTTACTCCATTTCACTAATTTTGTATTTTTCATGCATGCCAAACAAATATTTTCCCCTCAAAGAAATGTTGTCCAGTCTTTCCATACCTTTACCCAAGGGGGAATATATTATTAAGGAACAGTACCCTAGAGGAAGTTAAGCTCGGCAGTCGAGTAAACACTGACCATTCAGTCAAAGTTCGAGATCTTCTCAGCTGAAACTTCTTGGTCAACTTCTCAATTAACTTAGCTATCAGTTAAAGCCCATTGAAGTCCAGTCTACATGCGATTTTTCCTTGTTCTCCTTATTTTTAAGTAACACATGTTTCAGACAAACCCGGGCAGACAAAATAGCGGGATCTATTTTTTAATCCAAGATATTTTCGGAATTCTGCTATTTCTCTCAAAATTTCTCACACAACAACTTAACCTTCTTGTCCTTTGAGTTCCAATTTAGAAATATACAGTCGAATCCCGCTACTTCGAAGTCTGAGGGGAAAACAAAGATAGTTCGAAGTAGCGTCGGAGTGTTCTAAATAACAGTCTGCACTGAATATGAAAATAACAATGCCAATTAATATGCAATCAACCGACATGATGAAATGTAATTTTTTTTATTCACTAAGGGCCCGAAAAGAATACCTGAGGACGAAGTTCATTGCAGTACATTTAAAGTACAATGAAAAGCCCAAATGATGGTTTTCTCGCTATGTTCTAACTTAGTCCGAGGTCATGATGGATGATGATGTTTATTTTTTAACTTGAA